CGAGCCAAATCAAAATAGGCATCTAGAACATATAAACTAAAGAATAATAATAATAATAATAATAATAATAATAATAATAATAATAATAAAAAAAGAGACAAATGGTGGATCCAAATATGATAAGAGCCGTGACTTCCCGCTAATCATCCCATAAATAAGACCACAATCCCATAAATCAATGACACATTTGCACCTACTCAACTAACAAAGCAGCCTTGCATGCTCAAAAATCTAATTCTCACGCCAATATTCCTATGGGAACGAAAATTGTATCATATCGAAGAAGTATTCAGAAAACCTTTTCCATGAAGAAACAATTCCAAACATGATGATTAGGAGGAAACAACCAAACAACAGAACTAAAAAACAAACTCTCAGGAGTTCCAACATGAAGATCAGAAACGAGATGCCATGCTTTCAACTCAACCTACTACACAACAACAAATTTGCATCGAGGAATAACAAATTAACCATAAATGTAGATATGGTGAGTTCAAACTCCACGCATAACTCCTAAGCTACTTAAACATTCCCAACGGTCTTCACATCACAGAAAAACTAGTTTGTTGGTTTTAATCATGAATGATGACATGTTATAAGCAACTAAGAACTTAGCATGCATGAGAAGGCGGCTGAAATTGCACACAATTGCTAGCTAGACCTTTCCTTTTCAGTCGACGCAAGAAACATAGACTGAGCAGACTTAAACTAATAATGATCCGACTAGTATACTGGAAAGACTCTACAAGCTTACTTCATGCACAATAGACAAAGATCAATATTTTCAAAAGAAACTCCAAACTTTCTCATTTGAACCCCAAAAAAAAGGCAAATAAGGAAAAATAAGACAATTTGCTAGAAAATGCCACAAGCACCCATGCTTCAGCTTGATGAATTTTGAGAGCATTCTAACATATCAATATTCCAATTTTCATATCTCAAAATAGTTTCAGTAGTTTAATGATATCAATAAGACCACCTAATCTATCAAACTTAGTTGAAAGTAAACGAGCAGATGCTCAATTTCAGGAAAACGAACAAAACTCCAGGAATTGCAAGCAAAGAATCAGTCACTTAAGCTTAACTATCAAGTATGAAATCGACCAAACTCTAATCCTTTTGACTTAAATCCAAACAGATCTAAGTGACAATTATTCATTGGAATATTAAAGATCAAGCAAATTAACCACGACCCTTATCATATTCAAATCAACACCAACATGAGGTAGTAAAAGAGAAAAGGGATGAACCTAAGATGAAGCTTTTTTCAGTGTATTCAGTTAAATGGTGCGACTACAATCGAATTCAGGAACGAAAATCGAATCAACAACGGAGTACAGGAACTCGAATGGTAGTCAAATTTGAACGGAATCATGAACCGAACCACGAACGGACCTCAACCAGTCACGATCGAATCGACACCTCGACTCAACTAAACCCCATATTAAAAACCAAAATCCGACCAGAAATCTTCTTTTTTTTTGTGTGTGTGTTTTTTGGATTTAAACGAAAAATAAAAAAATTGAAGATGGAAGAATCAGAAGGACCTTTCTTCTCTCAAACTTTTCCCTCAAAATTTTTGTCCAAAAACGATCCTCTCCTCTATGACTGAAAATCCCCCTTTTATAACCCCTAAAATCTCGAACCTTCTTCTACCCTCTTCCCAAATCCGAAAATCTTCAACTCTTTTGTGTGGACGATTTTTTCGGACAAATGGAAGGCATGGATTGATTGTCAATCAATCCATGGCTCCTATTAATCTAAAAATCGCCCCCAAAGAGAATCTATATGCGTGAAATCCGGAAAGAATAATCTGGTTATCAGAGGTCGTTAGGCTACGTGGCAAGAGGAGAGAGGAGGGAGCACGTGATGGTTAGAGAAAAATTTTCNATTAGGGTTGTTAGGAATTAGGTTAAGACTTGGTTTATATTTGGGGTAAGGGACTTAACAGGGGCCGTTGGATCTGAGTGGGATGAGTGGCTAAGATTAAAGGGGAAATTAGGGCGGGTTCATGGGTTTGGTCGGCGAGTCAGGTATGTTTAAAGAATTGGGCTGGGCGATTTGTGGGGTATTTAGGCCATTGAGAGCTTTTGGCCCAGTCCGGTTTTAAGGCTAAAAAGGGCCTCTTTTCTTTGCTTTGCTTTCTTTCTTTTTTAAAAAAATCTTCAAAATTAATTAAAAATCCTAATTAAGTCCTAACTTAGTCTAATTTGTAGAATTAAACTTAATTATCTATGTCTACCGCTTAAATAATTAATTAACTTAAAACTAAAGAAATAAAATTACTAATTTTAAAACTAAAAGCTAAAATGTAAAAATGAACAATATTTTTTGATTTTTTGTTTAATAACGCAATTAACTTATGTAATTAAATTTTAAATGCAATTAAGACCTAAAATGCTATGCATGAAATATTTTAGACATTTTTGGTATTTTTCTCATGATTTTAAAATGTTAAATATGCAACTAAATGCAAGCAACAATTAACAAGAAATTCCTAAAAATTATATAAAAATTAAAATAATTAGAAAAACCTATTTTAAAGTTGTAGGAGTATTTTCCGTCGGGAAAAAATCACATGCTCACATCATGTATATCTTCCATTGTTAAATTGCTCTTAAATGCTTACTTGATTTCGTAATTACATGCTCTATCTTTTATTGTCAAACATGCTTTTATATGCCTTAATTGATGTTGTTATCTCTCTTATTGTCATGTGCCTTTTTAATTGTTGAGTTATTCTCATTTAAAGTTATTATTTCATGATGTATCTTCGTGTTAGAATTATTCTCATGCATTTAGATGTAGTTGCTATTTCATACTATCTTTTTCGTTATTAAGCTTATGTTTTACAATTGAATTGGAAGTTGTCTTTTTGTGGGAACACCTTCATTTTGAACTATTGAAGTTGAAGTTATGAAAGTTATTATCACATTGAGGTTGAAGTTGTTGCTTATTGAGATATATTACCTTGTTGAGTAATTCTCATTCATTTTGTTATTATTGAGGTTCTTGTACACATTGTGGTTGAGCCGTGGGCTATATGTTGTGGTAATATTGGTATTGTGATTCTGAAAAGTTGTGGCATATGGGCACGTGTGGTGCAAGATGTTATTGTGTTGAAATGTTGATGCGCATGCGGCGTTATAAGGATAGGGGTTGATGTGCACGCGGCGCCATAAGGTGGGATTTATGTTGCTAGTAAGGAAATTACTTCAAGCCACGCGATAATATAAGTGGGCTAAAGCGCGTGTAGCTATTTCGTGAAAAATATTTTAAAAAATCTAAATGTAAGGCTCACATGAAAAAACAAATCCCTCACAGCCGACGCTATAGCGAAACAAATACGACACAATACCGAGCAGGTGGAGATAGTAGTCACACGTGACAACTTTACTGTTGCTCCAAGGCTGATTCCATGGATTGAACCCGTAACTTAGAGCTAAGTGGTGGTATTTAATAAGCCGTCTGGCGCAAATGTAATTTGTTTGTCTAAAATAATGTGATACGTTGCTGCTTCATATGAGAGAAAAATTTATGATGTTTTTGCCTTCATATTAGGATACGAGGACAGCTATTTATTGCAAGTTTGGTTCTCTATGGGCAATTGGAAAGCTAAAACATCAGATTCTGCATATAACTCAATCAAGAGCCAAAGAATGAACCATATGTTTCCACAAATCTTTTAGCCAAATAATTTGAAGGGGAGCCCTGGAGCAACGGTAAAGTTGTCTTCATATACCATATAGGTCACGCATTCGAACTGTGGAAACAGCCACTAACGCTTGGATTAAAATAGGATGTCTACATCACACCCCTTGGGGTGCAGCTCTTTCACGCACCCTTCGCGAACGCAGGATGCCTTGTGCTCCGGGATACCCTAAGTAACAAGCATTTAGATGATCACAGAAGTCAATTATACAGTTATCTTTGATGTACTTTTGTTTTTGATCATCAAATTTTATTACCTGCTCTCTTTGATCCATTACAGGGAGGGAAGTTTAACTCATTCCCATGATTCAAGCCTCTGCCTCTGATTAATCATATTATATTATAAGTGTGAAGCCCCAAAATAAAAGTTAAAAAACCAAACTAACCTTGTAATACTAAGAGACTAAAATACCCTTCAAACAATAATAAAATTCGTGTTAGCCGACCTCTTCATAAAAATTTAAAAATTTTGAAAAGTTGTATTCAATAAAATTTAATGTAGACTAAAGAGCAAAGAGTATGAACGTATGGAAGGGAAGACCAAACAATGCCAACTAGGATAAAATCATATAAAGGCAAGAAGGGATTTTCATTTCCCTCTTCCTCCCCATGTATTGAATAAAATTAAATGTACTAAAGACTATACACGCATGAGAGGAAGCCCAAAGAATGCCAACCGGTATAGAACTATATAAAGGCAAGAATGGATTTTTCCATTTCCCTCAACTCTTGCTCTCCATTTTTGTAGCCTGACATTTTTTAGCACATTTAGTTTTGTTTCATCTTTCATCTTCTTTTTCATTCTTTTTTCTTTTCCTATCTTTTCCCTCAACGTAAAGTTTGTAAAAAATCAAAGTTGATATAGAGAGATGGATAAGTACGTAGAGGTGTTGGATGCTGGAATGAGAACAACTTCAAGGATGTACTATTATCCTTCAAGCAAGCATGATAAAGAAGTCTTTGACATAGATATGTCAGCTAATAACGACAAAATTTGGCGCACTAACTCCTTGAAAACTTGATGAATATAAGTCAGTGACCGAAAAGATGTTCAAAAATATAAAAAAAACTTAGTCAAATAAGATCAAAATTAAAGGTCTATTAAACAATCCAAGCACAGTCTTAGTCATTGTTGTTGAATCAATAGATGTTTGCTACTTTGCCGAAGTGATCCTTGAAAGCAGAAGGGTTTTGGGAGTTTTTAATTACTCTTTTGGGAAATTTTTTGGTGAATTACTTAATTTTATACATGCCAGTCAAGAAAGTGATAATGCTTGTAAACTTAAATATAAGGATAAAGAAGGTGATTGGCTTTTTGCTAATAGAATATTTTATCTCCTTCTAGGTACTAGTACTAAATTATTGTTCATTTAACTTAGAAAAGATAAAGAAAAATAAAACAAGTTGACCACTAAATACATGATACTATACTATGTTGAATTCAAAGAGAAAAACAAATAAAATGAAAAAAGAGAATTGGTATTGGGCCTCGAACCCAGGTCTTCTGGTGAGGGAGGATATAATGTAACTTATTAAACCAACAGAGTAGTTCACTTTTTCTACTTGAGAGGGCACATCAAAATTATTTGAGGGGTCCTTGATGTATATACAAATATATATACAGGTTTTTGCCGAGGCTAGCGGGTTCCGATGATCCCTCTCATATCCATGTAGGTCCGCCTCTGTGCACCGGGCAGTTATTACGTATTTCCAAATGATGGGACTTCAGAAACTGGTTCAAGCAAAAACCTTTCTTCTTTTAGATTCAGTTAGAGGCCAAATTCGACAGTAAACTGCATCAGAAGATCCGTAATCTAATGATGCAACAAAGCTTTTGCATGAATTAAGTCCGCCAAAAATAAAAGCTCAGATGGTAGTACCTTCAAAAAATATTATGAGCCCTCTTGTGCCAATCAAACTGACTTCAATTAGAAATACAGCCGATCCTGAAGTTCTTACACCAGAAAATGCCTGTTACATATTGCAAGCTCAATAATAGATTCTTATGTAGCAATTAAAGAATCAAAATCCACAGATATCTTACACAAAACTTAGGTGAGTTTGAACATTCTTACAATAGTTTAAGTTGGTCATTAGTGACAGGGAACTTTGCACCTGCATTCTTTTGATGTATTTACATAATCCAAGAATGCCTACTTAGAAGAATATTAGATAAGAAACGGAAAACTGAACATTCACTTCACTTACATATTTCAGTGCAAGTAAAGGCCAAGAATCTTCCACCAACCGGCTCCTACTAATCCCCAAATGACAATATTAATAAGAGCTATGATAATGCCCAATCTGAAGACATCACGTAGTTCCACATAACCAGCTGTTAAAGAAGAGAAATGAAATGAGATTAGTTCAACTTCCTCAAAATAAATGAAAAGGGATTAGTAATCAAAATACAGACAAACTAGAAAGAAAATGAAATTCTGATAGACCCTCCTTCTTAAAAAGATTGCCTTAGTTTGACTTGACAAAAACTTTAATAAAGAAGGAAAATTTTTTAAATTATGTGGTCTTAAATAAGACATATCATTTGTGTGGGTGTGAAACTGTCGTAGTATTTGTGACTATAAATGCTTCTTATTAAAAAAATGCTGAAATGTGCCAATCTTTTTTATACAGACTAATAAGGATAGTACCAATCTTTTTGAAACAGAGAGAATACCATTTTTAACTGCATTGTCCCTTTTGCTCATGTCTAAATTTTTATGACTAGATAAAACTTTTCTAACTTTCTGCCTTTCCCCTCTATAATACACATGAACTTAACAAAATTACCTCCATAGTATACTGCAGCTTGACCACTACTGTAATGTGTCAATGCACCAAAAAGGTTTGTGTTGTATCCCAAAGCCAAAGCAGCAAAGAGAGCAGGAACTTTTGATGCCAAGCACATTCCAAGAAATGCAGAGTACAAAGCTGCAACATGAGCAGTTTGACTAGCAAACAAGTAGTGAATAAAGAAATATGCAGATTGAAGGACACAAAATGCCCCAAACCAATGTAGTGAAAGAGATTTGAGGAAGTTAGCCACAGCATTTGACATCCAGGCAACAACTCCCAGAGTAGTTAATTGGGTTGCCATTCCTATTAATACACCAAACCAAGCTAAGGTATCCCATGCTGATTTTTCACTTAAGCAATCATCCCAATCAAGTATTCCAAATGCCAAAAGTAGTGATAATCCCAGCATTGCCGTGATAACACTTGCTAGTCCAAGAGCCTCCCTGTATTAAATATAACAGTCAGATGAAATGAGATGAGTCTGGCTCTAATATCATGTAAAGAAAATGGATATCGCGCTTAACTCAACCCAAAAGTTAGCTCATAAGAAACACTAGACAACCAAAGGAAGCCCGGTGCACTAAGCTTCCGCTATGCACAAGGTCCAGGAAAGGACCGGACCATAAGGGTCTATTTTGTACGCAGCCTTACCCTATATTTCTGCAAGAGGCTGTTTCCACGGCTCGAACCCGTGACCTACTGGTCATATAGCAGCAACTTTACCAGTTAAGTCAACGCTCCCTTTCAATCGACCTAAGGAAGATTGGAAGAAAAAATAACTATACCCAGAAATCCATAATGCTACGGTTACAAGCATGACTATCATCATCACCCACTGATCACTTTTGATGGGACCCATCTGATCCAGCCTCCTTCTAGCCATTAATGGAGCATCTGGTGTGTCCTTCATTTCTGGAGGGAAAATCTTGTATAGAATAACTGGAGTTGCTAGAAGAGATACAAGTGCTGGTATACATGAAACCTTGAACCAAGTGAGCCATTTACTTGATATTTTTACTCCTAATCCCTCTGCTAATTTCACACACAACAGGTTTTGTGCAGCTGCTGTTAGGAACAGGGCACTTGAGCTACTAGAACACTGCAACAGTAACCCCACAAAATAAATACTCAGCATTAAAGACAGAATATCCAACATCTCATATATATATTAATCTCAAATAACATACAAACATGTAATATACAGATACTTCAATAACAGTAAACTAAAAGCATTTCCTGAAATTGTTGGCCAGGAGATGCAACTGAAAATGCAATACCTTAATAATAGAGATGAATTGTGAAAGTTTTGCACTTAAAATCTCTCCCAATCAAATAAATCTCAATTTATGCAACGCTTTTTCGTATACCTTTTGAATATTTAAATTTTAACTTTAAAACCTTGAGTTGATCTAATTTATTTAGCTTCGAAAAATAATCAAATTGACTCTCAAGAAGCGAAAAATATCATATAAATTGAGACGGAGGAAGCAGAAAATAGGACAGATGTAATACCCTAATTAATGGTTTCTCAATTTATCTGAAAATATTACTTAAATTCTTATATAGAGTTCATAAGTTTTATTTAGCACACTAACAGTATACAGTTTCTTCTACTATTAGTGAAATTTAACTCAATATTGAAGGTTGTTATCCAATTTTCAAGTTCACCATATCAAAGGATGCTACGAAGATTTACCTGTTTTTATAGATCAACTATGGTCAGTACACAGAACTAAAATTCAATCTTAATTAATAGCAAGTCTCGGTAACTTTGGCGTAACTGGTAAAGTTGCTGCCATGTAACCAGGAAATCACATGTTCGAGCCGTGAAAATAGTCTCTTGTAAATATGCAAGGTAAGGTTGCGTACAACAGACCCTTGTGGTCCGATCCTTTTTCGGACCCGCGCATAGCGGGAGCTTAGTATACGGGGCTGCCCTTTTCTTCATATGCTAACCTAAAATATGGAGTAATAACCTATTATAGCTAGTTAAATTGCACTAAAAGTGTAAATCAAATTTATAGTACTGTTAGTCCATAAATTAAACATACTAGGAAGTGAATAAATTAAAGAATAAATGGCAACCTGCAACTGAGATTGAACAAGATAAGCACCAAGCTTCTTAGCAGAATCATCCTTTGGGTGACTATCAGCAGTGACAGCCAATGACTTAATAATGGGCAAGAAAATCCCACCTGCCCTTGCAGTTGTACTTGGAATAGCCGGAGATATTGCCGCCTCACTCAAAGCCAAACCATAAGACAAACCCAAAGTATTTTTTCCAAGCCAACACACAAAACACAAAGCAACTCTATCACCAAGTCCAGTTTTAATAAACCCTCTTGAGAAAAAGAATGATGCAACAATTAACCAAATGACTTCATTAGTGAATGCAGCAAATGCTGCAGCGAAGGTTAAGGTTTTCGTTACAACGGTGAGGGTGAGGCAAAGGAAAGCCCACGCGCCCACTGGCAATGGGCCGAGGATTAGACCAGAGATAGTTGTAAGGAAAATGGCTAAGAGTTGCCATGCTTTAGTGGAGAGTTGGTGGGGTTTTGGTACGGCGAAGCGAAAGAGTATGCCTATTAATATGGATATGGCTAGTGGTATTGGTTTTGCACCTTTCCATGGTGGAAGGGAGATGCGGCGACGATGGCGGCTGGTGTTGGAGGTAGGGGAAGTATTGGAAGGGAGGGGAGAACTTGGAGTTGACATTAACTACCTATCAAGAGACTTAATTCAAAACTTTACACGAAATGTTGATGTTGCAGAGGGAATGATACCTTACGTACGTGTGATTTAAAGAATATTCAGGTTAAATATATATATTTCGAGATGAAAATACTTGCTCCGGCTATGATCCTGCGATCTGCATTTGACACCAAAATGGAAGAAAAGTAAAGAATTTAGCATGTATGAAAAGGAAAAAAGTTGAATTATGCATTAATACATGTCGTGACACAAAGTTTGTTACCTTAATTTGCAAATCTATCAACTCGTTGAGCGAGGCCTTCTGTTTCAGTTTCACTATTGAATAATTCACTTTCAAGTTCTCTGAACAATACATAAAATGCAATGTGAATCAAAGCAAAATGGTGGTTAATTTATGTATGGTTAATGGTTATGGCTATTGATATGGGTGGAGTGGCAAGTGGTGGGACGAAGAAATTAAGTGGAAACTGAAAAGAGGAGGGAATGGGAGGTGGGGACAATAGCTTTTTGAATTATATTGGATTTTAGTTGACTGCAAAGGATAATAAAAACTGACATATGGACATATGTGATATGTTGGTATTAACATACCCGTGACGGACATTTTATTCCCTACCTTTTTAGGTGTCTTGTCCTTTTTGGGTCGCTGTTTCTCTCTTATAATTTTTTATATATTTTATTTAGTCTCTTTTGCTTTGAATTTGATCCTAAACAGAACCATACTCTTCGATTCGTAAATTAGGAAATAATGGTCACATGATAATGCATACTCTTTATGTCTAAGAAAATTCAACTGTAATGTTTGGCTAGTACCAGAAAATCGATAGTGAGTTTAACAATCCCCATAATATGAGTATTCCTCGTAGTTTTTCGTTCACCGATTCTTGTAATCCTAATATTACAAATTCACTAATTTTAAGTGATGCATATGTTATCAGTATCGTTTTATTGGCAGGCCAAACGAGACTCCATATGATATATAAAAGGATCGATCTCGTACAAAAGGTGCTTTACTCTAGAAGCAGATTTATGCGATCTGGATTCAGATTAATTAGACCAATAAGTTTTACGTCGAATGATTAATTAAAAAAATAAAAAAGAGAAAAGATAAATAGTTGGACAAGCTTTCACACTAAATCATTGCCTTTTCAAATTGCAGTCAATAACGTTATCTCTATCCTTTTTTTCCCTACCTTTTTGAACCTGCAATGGGTAATGATTTGAAATTTCTTTTCAAAGAAGCAACAATTTTCATGTCATTTTCAATTAAAGATAAGGTCAAGAGCATTTCCACTTTGAAAACGACACTACTACTACTTTATGTCTTAAGTCTACTTGTGCTAATTAATAATAATACGAATAATATAATATAATATAATACTAATAACAAAAAGAGAAGTTGTTTAGAGCTTCAAATGTGCCCGTTCGTAGGTGTGACATCATGCATGATGTTTGAAGGTGTTGAGATGGGGTAGACTTAAATTTATAAGACGGAAAGTTGTCTTAAAAAGACCTACAATTTTTTAGAATCTATGATGTCTTACCGAAGAACACAGCACTACGGAAACAAAGTATCTATATCGGCTAGTTGGCTGGTTTAGCCTTTTTTGGTACACTTACATTAGGTTTGGTATTTGATAGGTCTTTCTAGTTTTGTTAGAGATTGTATGCCGTCTTGGCATAAGTTTGAGATTTAGAGAATTCTAATTTTAGAGAACTATTAATTACCCTAAAAGACGAGTTGAATATGTTAGAAAACTAATTTGATAACTCAAAAAGACATATTCAAATTGATGTCTAGGTTCATTCCTTGATATTATGTTAATGGATATTTATTATACAATCAATTTGAATAGTAAATTATAATAACTTTGAATATAATATTTTATTAACATTGAATGGCTATCAAAATCAGTTATTTTTTTATAACTTTGAATCTGACCAAAATTGGTCTTGGATGACCGTTTCCTTAACGTTAATTTTAATAACATTTCCTTAACTTTGATAGCTAATGTTTCTTTGGTCTTAAATGAATTTGACGTTTTGGCATTTGACTCCTTAATGGAGTTTTAACGTTTTCATTACCTATCAGATGTCCATCTCCCTTTTGGACTATATATAAATATATCTATATATAAGTATATGTTTGTGTTCCATTTGGAGTGGGTGAAAAAGTAAAAACTTTTCATCCCTTCTTTTTTCTGGATTTTCTATTAATTAATTTTTGTTGTTTCTGTTCCTAGTTATACTAAAAGAGCTTGTTGAATCCCGGGGATGCGCCTAATTTTATTCATTCCGGTGTGGGCGAAATATCCTTAAGCACAGTGTCCTCGACACGCCTCAAGCTAACTCCTATATATTCTCCATAATCCAATATTTTTCCAACAGAATAATGGATCAGAACAAGCCCAAATGGAGAAAAATGGATATGGAGGATTCATATAGCCAAGTTAAACTAGCTTTGTGATTGAGGTGTAGTTGTTGTCACTTAAATATTGTCTGGATTTAAGGGTCCAAAAACGATGCGGCCAGGGGCGGAGCCAATGAGAAATTACCCAGTAACTTCCGCTTAGACCGTGTATATATATATATATATTAAAAATCCAGCTACATAAGTGCAAAAATAGATTTTGAACCCAGTAAATTAGACACGATGTGGTAGAATTCTGAAATTAAACCCATAAAGTTCAAATTCTGGATTTGGTTGTCCGAGTTTATGTTAACACATTCCTATTTGTGGAGGTACATATTGCATATTTTGAGTGTGAAAACTGGCAATCTAATTGTGCTCGATATATGATAATGCATTCACATCAGCAATACTCTGATACACACCAGGCAAATTAAATAGTATACATCTTACAAATAAGAAGGTGTAGAAGTAGCAAAAGAAGAGAAAGGGGATGATGTTAAAGACGAAGAAGAAGAAGACAGCAAGTAGCTAGAATTGAACTCTATCTGCAACCTATGATGTAGAGAGAAATAAGAAACTGTAGTCTCTTTTTTCTCTTGCTCCTCGAGTTCCTTTAGAGGGATAGCCGCGAGAAATCTCTTGATGAATTCTCTGCAGCATTCTTTCCCTTTGCATATCATCTCTTGCTCGCCATTTTCCTTAGCCTTAGTATCATTTTTCAATGACTTCTCCTCCGCGTAAACCTTCTCATACATCATAGCGTTATCGTCGAACTTTAAAATATATGCTTTGTTGCAACCCTCAAATAACCTTTCTCCCAATGTATCAATAATGTAATAAGCATTTGCTTCCACCTTCAATACGAAGAAATGATCGTTCCAACTTATAATATAAACTCTAGGTTCAAACGTAATGTCATCTGCAAAACTACTAATCATGTCCCATATTTGATCAAATGACATTACCCCTTGCAATGATTCAAACTTGTCGGGACTGAAGAATCCAACGAAGGATTGATCATGCGATATGGCTATAGGTCGAATACCAGCACGCAAGATAGTCTCTAAATCAAAGTGCTTGTTTGGAAAATCACTGATGTAAGTATCATTTTGGCATAACTTTCTCCATTCTGAGGAACCATGTAGTATGAGATTATCGAATTCTGACCTCGTGGGCATTGCATCTCTATTCGACTGCAGCCAATGGGAGATAACAGCGACTAGTGCTGTGCAGGCGCTCTCACCAGCAGCCTTGTCACTACACTGGTCGAAAGATGCAAAGAAGACATTGGTTTTGAGCCATGTTTGCCCATCCCTACTGTGTAATTCCTTCATTTCCCAAGCAGAATTTTTGCTGCTGCCTTCATTTTTGTCCTTTGATTCAGTAGAAGGTTCAGGCTTCCCTACATTCTGTAAGTGAAAATTGCACAAGTATCAGAGGACAAAGTTTCACCTTATACCTACATTTAGTCTAGGATAAGAGATTTCATATATAATTATATTAAACAAATTTCCAGCTTAAACATAACAGAATTGACTCATATTGTTTGTTTTACTTGTTAACAAGGTAGATGGTTTCTAGGATAGTTAACAATAAGATGCTATAGCAAATAGTTAAAAATTTCAGATGAATATACAGCTCATATATAAATTTTACCATAATATACACCTGTTAGATTGTGAATTTGGTCTTGACTTGCTCCAAATGTTTATAAAAGATGACAATGACAATATTTATCTGGAAGACATTAACTTCTCAGCTTTTCCATTTTTTCCGTTATTCTACTCCCTAAGTCCCAAATTAACATTCATTTTAGCTTAAAATAATTATCACTTTAGAATTCGAGACTAGAATTAGTTAATTATTCTAAACTATACCCTTAATGCTAAAGAAGTAGTATTTCTTTTTAATACTGTCCAATTCTTAAAAAGCATTTAATAGGGTTAACTTAGTAAATTATACCTTGTATTTATTGTTTTCTTAATGAACGTGAAGAGAGCTAAAACAACATTTAAAATGGGACGAGGGTAATACAATAGGGCAAAACGAATTTGTTTCAAAGATATTTATTGTTTCAGAAAAACGAGAAATCATTTGTTACATTTTTTTTCCAAATCTACCCTGTTCTAATTAGAAGATTTTTAATTAAGTGAGATGTTTAAAGAAAGATAAATAATTGTAGTTTGGACAAATTTTGTTGTAAAAACAAATCTACTACTATTAAATGTACATGCAGAAACCTTTTAAAGACATATAATATGGACGGGAGATTGTTGCAAATGTACCTGTTGGCTTAGTCGTGACACAACACTAAAGCTACGACTCTTTTTAATTAACGGTTCTGCTTTACTCCTCGTTGGTCTAAGACTCAATCTCCTTCTCTTCCAAGAGAACCACCCAACTTTGTTGACTGAGTCAGGCTGAGTTTCTAAACTCGGTAACGATCCCGACTCAATTGCCTTCGGTTCCACTGCTTCAAATGTGGATGACTCGTCCGAATCATCTTCTTGACTCAGCTGGTTTGCCTTCTGTGCTTTTCTGTCACATAGACTTTTACTCTTAGCTAAACTTTGCAGCTGATTTGACTCACGGGCACTACCCGCCGAGTCTTGAACATCTCTTATCTCAGCAAATTTTACTTTGACCTAAAATTCATTGAAATTGATAAAGTCAGAATAATCATATACTCTATAGTGGGTAATTAAAAATACTAAATGGCTTTATTGAGTCATTTTATTTAATAATTTTCAGAAAAAGAGGGACTTTCACATTATTATTTTTCTAGAAAAATAGGCTTGGAACATACTACTACTACAACAACAACAAGGTAGTATGTACGCAGACCTTACCCCTACCATGGGGTAGAGAGATTGTTTCCGATAGACCCTCGGCTCCCTACCTCCAAGAACTCTTCACCTTATTCTTGGGGTGACTCGAACTCACAACCTCTTGGTTGGAAGTGAAGTATGTTCACCACTAGAGCAACATAAATTAACAAATACTTTTTTCGTTTCAAAAAGACTAAATATATTTCCTTTTTTATCACTTTTTTAAAAAATGATTACTTTTTAGATTTGGAAAGAATATAATTTCTTTCTAAATTTGTATATTTATAAATTATTTTGGACCATAAATTTCAAAAGTATTTCTAAGTAATCGTTATCAAGCATTGTCCTGTAAACTGCTGGAACATCAAGGAATTAGTCAGCTAAAAGCTGTCACTTTTGCTTAGTTTATTAACAAGTCAGACAACATATTCTACTAAATTCTCGGCAAGATATATTCATTACTAGGCTCACATATTTGACTTGTCAAAAAGAAACCCCCCC